TCTTCAGGCTAATTTAGCTGGGCTGGTCACCAACTATCCGGGGGAGTGAAAGCACACCGGGACCCAATTACACAGAGAGTCGGGTAGCTTGGGTTCTGCAAGGTCTCTGTGAGCAGCCAACAGAGAGAAATGAGGGGCTGTAGATATCTCATGCCCCCTATCCTTCCTGTTCTCTGCGAGTGACCAAGCTCTTGGAAAGCAATTGTTGGTAGTGCTGTGAAAGCTGCATACCCTGACATCATGTTTTCCTAAGACAGCCAGTCTCAGATACGCTACCCACATAAAAAGGTGACCTCAACTAAAGATCGACAAACCTTTTTCTGGGGGCAAGTTATCCTACCACTTTGCTCTACAAAGCTACTTTCCTTTGAAGCATCAGCATGGCTGATGCTGGATCTTAGGGAAAGATCCAGTTCTAGATGGACCAAAGGCAATCCGCTGAGTTTCTAGCTAAGAATTACATCGTGCCCTTAGATTATTATCTTATCAATGCCATTCTTCACACAGACTTGTTAGCAGACAAGGGGGAGAATGTCATGTCCGCAAAACTCATGAATGAACAAACAGCCATGTGCTATTAGACACAACCCTGAGTGCAGCCTGGCTGTCCCATCTCAGATGAGGAATCAAACAACAGAGGCATTGGTAGAAAACCGTCTCGTTGTCTTTCTTGGACTGATCCATTATCATAACGTCAAATTGCTCACAGTAAAAATGTTCAGCCATTAGGCTTCCAGGGGGTGATTGCAAAAAAGCAGACCTACAAAGCACTACTTTCAGTGCCACTCTTGTCAAAAGATTTAAATAAATCTTTCCCATCATCTTGGTTTGCAGTGTCTTTCAGTACTGCTTGGGAGCAGGGGGGAATTAGTCCTGCTTCTGTGTTTGTAAGTAAAAGATTTGGTGCCTGAAAATTTTGCTATAATGTTCAAATATTTTCCACAAACATATTTGGATTAATTTTACCTAAAACTATACACCTTTTTCCTTATAAGGCTTGCTTTAATGATGCAACACCTATTCTCCTACCCGATGCTAATACTTCCTCACCTCACAATTCATAGGAGTACTATGGTGATTAATGAATGTCTTTGAACTGGAAAGTGCTATCTGAGCACTAATTATTATCCGTGTATACACGTACTTCTGCTGCTTTCAAGGGCAGAGCATTCACATACTGTGGTAATGGGAAAGCTTAGAAAAACATATATCGATACCTAGGAGTTTTATTCACCACAGAAATATATAAAGGAAGAATAAATTAAAAGTTAGATGTTTCAATTCATTATTGCACGTCCCAGTGAACCACTCTCCATCTGTTTAATAAGTTCAGGGCAGCTGAAAATGGAGTTTAGATTGGAAGCTGCTTGCAACCTTATCTTCTTGCACTCTCCGTAATACTAATAAGAATTATAAAAATATGTTATTGCCCATTGTGAGGAGTACAGTTAAAGTATATGACGGCAAATCGAAAGTGTAAGGTGGAGGCTATGGATTCGTCCAAATTCTGCCTCCCAGACAATGGGGCTCTGCATGGATCAGTCCAAAGCTCCCACATACAGCATCCCTCTCCCTCGTATGCCTGAGGAAGTATTGCCTGAAGAAACTGTTAGCTGATGCTCCACTAAGGTTTTTTGTCATTTTTTACCTGATCCGTTTTTAAAATTATGTGATTTGAGTGTCAACGATATTTTCAAATGTTTCCTTAACGAGGATACTTCGTTCACATTTATCAGTCAGTGCTAACTGCTTTCAGACTTTCTCTGCTCCTGTAACTCGACGACCAGCCTGGGGGGGCTCAGGAAGCACGTGCTCAGCATGTATAAAACAGCCGTTCCCATTCAGCAGGTTTGCTCTCCTAGGACACGTTAATTAAAGTCAACTGATTGAAAAAATAATTACAGGAGAAAAGGGAGGGGAAAAGCCTAGGCCCGTAATTTAAAGCGCTCTGAAGTTTGTGTTTTGTTGAGAGGTAATAATTTTGTTGAGAGGAAAGAGGTTCTCTTTCTTTTTCCTCCTTGGACTCCCTCTATATTCACTGCCTGCAAAGACGTGTAATGGCAACAGGCAATAAGCAGCAGTCTTTCTTTAGAGTTATGCAAGTATACGTGGCCTTTTCTTCTTTCAGTATATGCTTTCTTCTTTCAATATATGCTTTCATCTAGCTTTCGTTACTGTTGCATCTTGAGGTGTCCTGAAGACACTGTAGTGTCTAACCGAAAAGGTTATGTGATCCTGAACACAGTTGTCCTATAGGATGTGGAATAATGGAAACATTATAACTGTTAAAAACTGCTACTGTAGCATTTCTCTCACTAATTAAAAACTGGCTAGGGAAGATCCCTTTCTTGATGCTGCCTCTACTTCAAACAAAAACATTACAACAAATCAAGACCAGGGAAAATGGTTTAGCATTTTAAGCTAATAATAATTGTTTTAGAAACCCATATTTGCTCAAGGGTATAATTCATTCAAAAAATGACCTTAAAACTCAGCGTTAAGCAAATATAAACCCCTTGTTATTTGGAAGTGGATGTTTTTAAGCTGCTCTCTCTCGAATTACGATCATGCGTTTCTTGCCAGCTCTCTCTCCCACCAGCTGCCGGGGCATTCCCAGCAGAGAAGGGCAGCGCCACCGATGCCAGCCTAGGGGCTGGGAGACCCTGCAACTCTCTGCTCCGTCACAGCCTTTCTGTATAATCTTGGGCAAGACACTTGCCTCACGCCTGTCCTGTAAAACTGGGGTAGTAGCATCCTCCTCCCCATGGGCATGCAGAGAGCGTAAATAGATTACAAAAAGGGAAATGTTTATGTTAGGCAATCAAATACAATTCTTAGAAGGCTCTGACTGGACGGTTTTACAAAATGATGGTGTGATTTTGGTGGTGTACCAGCCTTGCCACTCGTGTATTTGGTTCGAAGTACCCATTTATCCAAACCACTGACTATGTAGCGCAAATAAATTCTGTAGTGAACCAGAGAGAGGGTGGTTCATGTTCCCTAATTGTTTGCTTATAACAGCAGTGTTTGGAACTGTAACACAGTTGCTTTGAAGACTAATCCTCCTTCCCTAATCTGACTCCCCTAGGGCTTTAGAGTTAGTATTTGACCCTTAAAAATATATATATATATAAAATAAATGTATGTGCAAAAAGTCCATTCATACTACATACACATGCACACAACAGGCACAGATGGACCTGCACCAGGACCCATAAGGATTTGGCTTTACTAGTGCTGAAAAACTTAGCGACATTTTCTTTTAGTTTTACTTTTAAAGGGGTGAGAAAGGTTTAAGCCGAAAAAATAATAAAAATACACAGTTAATGTCTGCCATAATTTTAACAGAAAAAAAAGCTGAATTTTCCTATGTATAGAGAGAACTTAGCGCTCTGCATTCATTTAAGATACAAGCATCCACCAATGTTCCTGGCCTGGAGCTCCGGCTGCTCTACATACTGAATAAGCATAGTTGCCATTAAACAACCTTATCAATCAGAGTCACAGAAATGACGTCATCAGGACTGCACAGCTAGTGTTCTTCTGTGGTGCATTTTAGAAATTTAGAATACCAGTACACTGCAGAAAATTAAAAACCAGCTATGGAAACCATGAAAAGCAAAAAAGTTGCCCCTGACACCAAATATTCAAGGCACATTGAGAACAGATCTTTAAAGACTTTTCCTGGCGTAACTACTTTGAATGATCATCTTTCCACAACCCATCCTCCCTGCAAACTAATGTCACACAGCCTTTCTGTACTTAAAACCTCCTTTGTAAACAAAGACCACCTTCAAAAACCTTCGTTTAGACCAGGTCACATTTACAATTAGAAATATGAGAAAAGCAAAGTGATCCCCATCCCTGCCACCTGTTGCTGATCTCCAGTCTGAGCCCTTGTGTTCAATAATTTGCTAAGAAATCCGGTTACATTTTTGGGAACCAGTTCCACTGCCCATGCCCTAATGCACCTTCCTTTGTCTTACTGAAAAACACAGGACCAGCATAGTTGTGTGGCAAAAGCATTTATTTTAATTAATAAAGCCATGTGGCACCGCTAACGGCTTCCCTCTCTGGTTCCCGTTCTTTCATTTGTTCATTTCTTAGCGTCTTACCAGAACGGACATTGGTTCCAGCAGGACTATTCGTGGGCTTAAAGTGAAGTATTTGCCTTAGGGCTGTGCTCAGCGAGGGGTTTAGAATGACACACAGCCCATCTGGGACTAGAGCTGCTGCGGTTTCACTGGGACTGCACTTAACTGCAAGCGTTACCGTGAGCAGTGAGAATTTGCAGAACCAAGCCCAGAAACTCGCTGGGAGTTCCCAGCGGAGGAGAGGCAGCTGTGCCCATCACTCCTGCAGAGACAGCCCGCTTGCTGCCCACGCTCTCTTTCCTCATGTTTTCTGCAAGCCAGTAAAAGGACGTCCAAGCATTGTGACCAGTATTTCCCTTGGAAATTAATACACCTGCAGAGCTTTTTCAACGGGCGGCATGGGGAGCTGTGCTGCACCATTTTAGTTTGACTTTTTTTATCAAGGGTGAAGCAGGCAGCTGCCAGTTGTTTGATCTTCTCCTCATGTTTGACATGCAAGGTGTGGCTCGTGTGATCGTTTCCCCCACATTATCTCACTTCATGGTTTTTATATTGTTTAACCAGTGAAAAATAAAAAGTGACACGTGCTTCACTTGAAGCAAGCAAACTATTAAGAGGGGTTTCTGTGCAAATTGCAGCCATGGCATGACCATTTTTCCCAAACTGCGCTTTTTAAATGATTTTCTGCATTGTTTTTTCAACATGTTAAAAACAGTGACGTATAATTAAAGACAAACTGATGGGGCAGAAATGGACTGAATGACTGCAATTAACTGTACCAAACAAATGCTAGAGAAATCAGTTACTTGGTCTAAACAAGGACTTAAATCTACTAATCTGCCTTGAAAAAATAAATGTTCTATATGTTAAGTTGTAGGGGTTTGGTTTTTTACCTCTTGTAGACATATTACGCCAGACTTCCAGATGAGAAGATGAGACTATGAGTGAAGAGTGTCCTGGAGATTGCATGCAGTTCTTTTCCTGGGTCAGAACTGGATTGATCCGAGAACAATAATTATGAGGCTGACATGTATGTTCTCCTTCATCTTGCTGTTTGGAGCAGCTGGGCTCGTTGTCTTCATTCACCTGCAGGATCCAGAAGAAATAGTTCATCAGCAGACACCAGGTTAGCATTCCTACTTCTATTTGACTCAGTCGCTCTTTCGTGTTCAACATTTTGTACTTATACCCTTAACATGTTTTATATATTTCACAGAAGTTGCCTCAACAAAGGTATGTAATTTTTTTTAATAAAGGCTATTTTGAAATTAATTAACAATTTCTTTAAAAAAAAAAAAGAGGAGTTTGCTTAAAAAACAGGTTCCAAGAACAATTGACTGATTATGCAGGAATCTTTGCCAAGGTGCACAGGAGTTAATTTTCTGCTGAAGTTGAGAACAGTTCCAAGAACCAATTGACTGATTATGCAGGAATCTTTGCCAAGGTGCACAGGAGTTAATTTTCTGCTGAAGTTGAGAACAACTTCTGCTACCAGCTATACCACAATAAATATGAAAATGAGAAATTTTGCCAAAAGTTCAGTTCCTGCAAATACATGCTTCTGAATCCCCCTTTGCCTGTGTATGGTTTTCTATGTGTCATGGAGATGCAAAATAAGAGATGCATAAATGAGTCATGCCAGAGACATAAAATACTTTGGGATGCATTCCTTTAACGTGCTTAACTTCCGTTAAACTTTACATAACTTTCGTTCATACGCGTGCCATCTTCCTGTGCTACTAACTTTAAACTGTGAAGAGCCACAAAGACCACATCAATGTGAGAACTAAAAAACTGTGGGCTGAAATAGCGGTTTCCTTTTAAAGGAGGGGCACACAAGAAGTATGAAAAAGCACGAGATCTCTTGATTTACTTACAGTCGCTTTCTCTTTGACTAAGGCTGTAATGAAGGCTGGTTTAGAACCTAGACAAATGCCAGTGCAGTTACTCCAGCTGATAATAATGCCCCTGTGCGCCGAGGTTTGATCACTGTTTGCTCTTATATGCGCTGAAATTCTCCTTTGACTAAATATGTGCGTTATAAAAAGTCTATTCAATTGACACCTTCATTGTACAGTGAACGTGACTGTATATTTTAAAGTGTTACTAACATTTTTAAAGGAGCTGAACCCTAACACAGAGAACTCTTAAATACTTACATTAAGTGCTAATTTCTGTGTCCAGGTTTATTAAGTCCTTATTTCCATGTCACTAAACAATCTATACTTTAATATGTTTATTATTTAGTCCAACTGCACACCAATTTTGAAAGCAGCCACTCAGCTGAAACTATAGAAATAATGAATCATCGGTGTTGTGCAAAGCAGAGAATTAACCAGTCCCTTCAGTGCTTTTGCAATTTATTTTTGTATACTTAGATGCAAAAGAGCTTACAGATTAAAACTGGCGGGACTGGCCACATTTAACTGAAATTAGCCAGTAGATTGGGGGTGGAGGGAAAGACATATGGACAGCAAATGCAGGCAGTACTCTAGTGCATCTAAGAATCTGTAACTTTACATTGAAAAGTTAATTCTTTGCTCCTGAAAGAGAAGGAAATTCTAGTGGTGTCTCAAAAACAGTGCAATTTATTCTCCATTTTTTCATTATTGGTCCCTCATCTTGACCTGTCGTACCTCTGTTCTCTCTGCCACAAACCTCTTGAACGCCGACTGCTGATTGTAGTACACTGTGAAGTGATTTTTGAGAGGGATATAACTGTAGAAGGGGACACCCGAGCATATTTAAATAAAAGCAAGTTTGAACAGAGCTCCTACCACCAGCAGGGAAACTCGCTCGGTAACGTACTCGACTGCTGTGGGCAGGGTTCTGCATAGCTAAAACATGAACATCCCAACAATGCTGTTACTGCCAAAGGTGTGTAATCAATTGCTCAATTCTCACATTCAATTACTATTTATGTTAATAGGAACCAGACTGTACCCTTGAGTAAAAGGTGCTCAATACAATTACTCTTATTTCTGTTTGGCTGATTTTCATGTGTGTTAAGTGCTTTCAACTCCCAGTGCACTCAGAAACTCCTCACATTCCCTGCTTCTGAAAATGATACCAGTTATCACTAAAACATATTAGGCAGCTTAAAGGACACAGGAAAAAATATCCATTCATTTCATTAAAAAGAGAGGTAGGCATATTTCATCACTAGACAGTCTCCTGTGAAAATCTGTCAATCAGAAGCAACATTTCTGGTGAGCTGAGAAGGATCCTTCCCTTTCCCTGTTCAGAGTGTTTCTCCTTAAAAGGGCCTGTTTCTAATGGAGATTGGGTATCGCTATAATTTGCTTGTCTGATTGCTCCCTCAATAGAATTGGACAAATGCATGTGTCATTAAGCTACTTAGGACAACAGATTCTGCATGACAAAGTTTTATTGGATTAGCCTTTGCTTTTGTATTTCCCATGTAGTTACTATGTAGTAAAATGTATTTGCCAGGCACTGGAATCTCATCAGGAAGGCTGGAGAAAAGTCGGTAACGTTGATTTTCAACTGAAAAGCAGCATAGGAGAATTTTGCATTGTCCAAAAGGACATTTTTCATTGTTAGTACATTCAGTCATCTTTAATTTAAGATAGTACAACTTATGAAAGAAGATTAATAAAAATACTTTGGTACTTTAGTTTTATCTGTCTCTTCCGGAAATTGTTCTTGATTGTTTTAGTCCTAGCAAGCATGATAGTGAGACCTTGATGTACTACTTAAACCAGTATAAAATCCACAGTCATAAAACTTTAAGTAATGCTTACATTACTTTCACTGAGCAAAGTACTCCTGACAGTAGCTGTTTGTGTTGATTTGTTACTATTCATTTATTCTTTCCCTGTGCTTCACACTGCTACCTAATTGTGATGCTGTACTGAGAAAGCAATATCAAAGTAATTTTCCACAACATTAGTTACGATTTTCTTCTGATCTTTCGAGTGAAACAATCCCATCCTGTTGGCTTCTGTGAGCATATAAACCTTGATTACATTTATCTGTTGGAAACCACTGCTTACAAAGTATATGTGCCGGGATAGCGGGTGTAGAGCCTTTTTTGCTGATTGACAAACATGCTGTCTGTGTAGTTTTATTTATATGATGCACATCACTCTGAGAAAATATATTTAAAGACAGACAGCCATTTAGGGTGGGCAAAACAGATTTCCCAGGTCAATATATTAAATTCAGTAGCTATTCCTGTGGTCATTAAAGAGACAATAATTTAACTTACAACAGTCATTTTCTCGGCATCTACGAAGAGTGCTATTACTATGGAGAATGCAGGATAAAGCAGGGGTGTGGGTTGAGAAGTGGTGTGAATGATAGTCATACGCCATACAGAAATGCAATGCTCTTCTAATAATTCTCCCTGTGAAATTATGTAAAACTTGGCTTCTGCAGTAATCATGCCATTATTCTTAAACAGACACAGTAAAGGATTTGTTTTATCATAGAATCATAGAATCATAGAACGGTTTGGGTTGGAAGGGACCTTAAAGATCATCTAGTTCCAACCCCCCTGCCATGGGCAGGGACACCTTCCACTAGACCAGGTTTGGTTAAGTCAAGCACATTTGCACATGGTGCACAAGAAAAATTTAATACATATATCCCCATCCTAATGCTAATGACTCTTGAATGTATAAATCTCCTGTCTGTGATAGGATATTAAGCATGCAAAAACTTTACAGTAACTAAATGTGCAGCCACTCCACCGCTGTGTTTGTCCTGGAACCACAAAAGCAGCTGGGAAGGGGCCTGTCCAGCCCTGTGGTTAGCAGGAGGCTTCTTCAGCATAATGGCATGCACCTTCTCTCTCGGGATTTACAGTGGAAGAGTTGATGGGGCTAACCTTTACAGCCTTGGCCAGGGCCACTGCAGTTTATGAGATACACTGACAGCACGGAGAACTTGGATTTATGAGAGCTGCATTTGGGTGGTACAAGAGAGCAACTTGGGACAAACAACGTCAGCAAGTGAAAGAAGAAGAGTCTAGAGGATGCAACCCATCCTGACAGCTCTCAGGCGGACTTCAAACACCTACAGAAAGTTCTGAGCAGCAGACCAGCCAGTCCATGGGCTGGAGACAGGACTGTGGTCATGAATAGCAGGTGGGCAGGTGAGGTCATGAATACCAGGACCACTGCTTCCAAGTTGCACCAGGGACACAGTATCTATAGCTGTACTACAATATCTATAGCTGTACTTAAGACCATGCGCTCTATGGACTTTAGTCAGAGGAGAAGGGATATTCTAAAATGGTATCTACTTTTCTAATAGGAGATTTTGCCAAATAAAAAACAGGGGAAGTATTAATATTTCTATATATCTATACTCATGTAGCAAATTTCTCTATATATGGTGAATAAGCTCGTGGGGAAAAAAAATATTGGGTTTTTGCCATATGGTTACTGAATTCACAAACCTGTAAGAGTTTTCAGTTAGAACTTTAAGATGATTATATATGGACACACACTCCTCTGGGAGCTGGTAAAAGGTGGAAAATACATCTCAAAGGATGAATGTTGTGAAAGCTCCAAAAGGGTGAAAACAGGGAGTAGAATGGAAATGGCTTTGCACTCTGACTATATCAGAATTTGAAAGTCAAGTATGAATATAACCAAACCTGAAACTCATCTGACTGAGATTCTGCAGTGATTGCTCTCCTTACCTCATCTACCAATTCTTAACATAATACTGTCATCTTCTTTGTTTTCTGTTTTACTAAGGGTGTGATGGGGAGGAGAGGGAGGAAAGAGAGATGACAGAAGGGCTGGCATGCGAATGCTATTGCAAACCTGACGGCACAAGGGAGCCACAGTGCAGAAATCTTACTGTATATTGCAGTAGCCTTAGAGCAAATACCAATATTATAGCTATACTGAAATTTTCTTATTACTTATTCAGAGCACATACACCTTGTTACTCACAAATTACAGTCCTATGCACCTCTCCATGTTAGCTGTACATTTCCATAATACTATCCTAGTGCACAATGTACCACTTGTTTGTTGTACTGGAAACTTTTTACAAATACAATTGAAAATGAACTAGCACTGATATATAATTTCAGATGTAATTTTCCTACAATTTGCAACTTACTTCTCTTTATAAACTGGGAGCCAT